AGTGGAACAGCAGAGGGAAGGAGAGGTCCTCGGTCTCAAAGTCTTACCTGTGGCTGCTTCCTGGGCTTTCCCCCTGTTAAAATAAATAAAAAGGAAAGGTCAGATTTTTCTAAAGACAGAGCACTTCCGAAACTTCCCTTAGCAAAGCAAGCCAGGTCCAATTCTGTTCTCAGACTGAGGGCACTTGCTGAGTTCTAATGCAAGAGTTATACCGGGAGCAAATTCTCCTTTAAGTCCTCCCAAACACACTTTTCCTCCACACCTTTTCTTTCTTCCCTTCCTTAAGGGGTTATTTCCCATACTCCCCAAAACCAATCTCTGAGATCTTTATCCAAAGTCCTAAATTCGTATTCCTAGCGCAAGGAAAACTGAAATTAAAAAAAGAAAACAAAAAACCCGTGATTTAAGTCTACAACTCAGCTTCAAGGGGGAGGAAGATGGAGATGTTGGAAGCATTTTTAAGGATTGCACGAGCAGGTTTCACATGATGCCCCAGGTACTCACCTCATCGCTTTCCACCAGGTTCTCAAACTGCAGAGAAGAAGAAAGAAATAATCTTTACAATGCAATATAATGAACCACTGCAGACAGACAGCAAGCATGACTGCCTATTTTATGTGTCTTGTAAAAATCTATGCCAATTCTAACAATGAGACTGTAACAATATTTATGAAAGCCCCTACTTTCAGAGGAATTTCACTTTTAGGGTTGGACCTTTCTTCTTACCAATGTTTCTTGTCTTAAAACATTACATTCTCCTAAAAGGAGAAGAGTCAGAATTAAAAAAAAACAAGCATTCTAAACTGCACAAACTCATCCAGCAGAAGTTCAACTGCCACATTGGAAAGGAAAGAAAAGAAAAAAAAGAGAAAAAAAAAAAAGAGATTCCTGATTGACCTAATAATTTGGGAGGAGAACAATACCTCCTTTTCCCTGCCATATGTCTGCGGCAGGAACACCCTCTCACCGTGGGAAGTTCTGCACCAAAACAGATCTCCCCCTCTGTACACATCCTGACCCCTTTCTCGACAGCATTGACAACAATAATTAATGTTCTCCTCATTAACGGGGGCAATCAGGCTGCTCTAGGACTTGCAGAGCACAGGAACACTCAGGGAAAGTAAAGCAGGTTATTCCTGGTTAACCTTACACTACCCTTGGCAAAAAGGGAGCCTGGGAAAGGATCTCTGTGGCGATCAAAGTAGACCACAAATGCAATAAACTCTCAGGTAACCCCAGCATCAATGTGGGCTGGAATATCCCAGAATATTTCAGTGTTCATAAACTGTAAAAAGTGTTAAAGGCATTGCTAGGATTCAGCTTTCCCCACTTTTTCATAAATGGCTAAAAATACAAGTACTCACCTCTATGGTGAAGTGTTCTCCTGTTGAACATGTTCTAAAATACTTGGATCTGGAAAAACAAGCTTACAGTTAGACTACAGAAGACTCTTCAATACACAGCAGAAGGTTAATGAGCCCGAGGATTTAAAATAGATTTTAAAACATGTTAAATGTAAAATAACAACAAAATCTTCATGTATTTAACACATTAACTGGAGCTCTGCATCGCTACTACAGCAGAGAGAGGCAGTAGCACGTAAACATCTTCTGCAGAATTGGGGGAAAAAACTAAAACCCTTGTGTGATGAAATCATCTGTCAGGATGCTGGACTTGACATTTAGAGACTATTAGCATGTTCTGCAATCCCTTTAATACATCTTTCCTGGAAAAAAAACCCATTGTTCCAGGCAATTTCTGAAAATGCTGTTGCTCACCATGGCACTTAACTCTTTCTTGGCAGCTTCTACCTCATCAGTGTTAAACAATGTATTTTATATATTAACAGCTTGGCACATCCAGAAGGGTGAGCCTCAGAGCAAAACATCCAAAAAGAGGTCAAGGCAATACTTTAAAACAACAAAAAAAAATTATAAAATTTTTATGCTCTAATTTTATACAGGGAATTGGTTTCTTACTTGATTCCTTATTCAGAATTCTTCCTATTTTATTTTAATTCTTTTACAGAGGACAGTTAGCCCTGTCCTCTGCAAAACCCAACACAGTATTAAGTTACCTGGATACATTTTTACCTAGCCAAGGAGGTTTGGCCACCGTCCAGAAGAACATTCTAACGTAAACACTCCTGAGTACAACATCCATTTCATCGAACTGTTTCCAAAACCAGAGTTTCCAG